AGCTGCCCACCTGTTCCCCAGAGCCCCGCCCTCGCCCCCCCCATCCTGTCTTGTCACCTGCGGGCACCTGGCGCTCCCACACATGGCCCTTGGTTGTCACCGGTGTCTCCTGTTAGCAGCACCGCGGAGGCAGGGACCTCGAAGGGTCGCCTGCGTTTCTTTCTGCGTTTTTAAACATATTGGTACATTTCAGATACACAAAATGATGACGCTCATCAGAGGGCGCTTGTGATCTCTCTAGCCGCTTCTTTTTTTCCGTTCCTCCCCGCTCCCTTCAGCCCCTCTTCCCCTCCATATTTACCAAAGCTTTGTTTTCAGTTTTCTCCTTTTTTTCTTTTTTGTTCCTTCCTCCCTTCCCCGCTCCCCCCTCCTTGTCCCCCTTCCCATTTGAACATTTTCTTCCCATTCCCCAGTATCTATTATATCTTCTGGTCCGTATTTACTCCTTCTGCCTTTAGAACAGGGTCTCAAGGCGCGTGCAGTCATTTTATACGGGAAGCCGGGCCCCCTGCATAGGCCGGGGGCGCCCGTTCAAAGCTCAGACCTATGGGAAGCCTGGGGCTCGTGTGCTCTGAGATTAATTCACGCGAGCCGCCAGCCGGCCCTCGGCCTGGCCCAGGCCGGGGCGGCCGGGACCCTGCACTCCGCTCCGGAACCCCGAGGCTGTAAAGCAACCCTCCTCCGAGGGGCCTGTGTCTTTTAGGAGAGACGGGGCGAGGCCTGGAGCACCCCAGCAGTGAGGGCAGCAGCTGGGTCCCCGGGGGCAGACGCCACAGGGCTCCAGGCAGAGTGAGCAAGCGTGAGGTGGGGCTGGCCAGTGCCCACCGGGTACCTGTGCCCATCCTCCGAGTCTGGGGCCTGAGTCTGTGGACGAGGAGCCCCCGCCCACCCGCTTCCCCTGGTTCCCGTCAGGCCCCGGACGGCACAGCCCGCTGGACCCCTCCGCCATGCCCACAGCGGGCCGGCCGGCGTCTTCTCCTGCGTGTCCCCGGGCCTTTCCCAGGACAAGTCACAGCCCAGAGGAGTCAACCTCACAGGGCCCCACTAAGCGCCAGTGCTGGGGCACAGCCCCCCACCCCAGTCCCAGGTTAAAATTCCATTTTCCTGGGAGAAAACCTGAGGCTTGGTGGTAGGAAGCAACCAGGCCACCGCTGGATCTAAAGCTGGAGCAAAAAGGGGCTGGGCAGAGATCGGGACCAAGCAAGGGCAGCACAGGGGACGGTCACAGCCCCTAGATCTAGCTGGAATCGCTTTCTGCGTTTTTCTGCCCCTCTCAAGAACTCCTCTTCACCCTGCAAAACCTGGTCTGGTTATCCCTGAAGGGAAAGGGAAGACAGTAGGACTGGCACCAAGTTTGAGGGGGTGGGCAGCGCAGGTAGCTGGTTGGTCAGTGGCAGGCCACCTTGGGGTCACCAAGGACACCCAGCTCCACGCCAGCAGTCTGGCATTGCAGTGTGGGTCTCCCACGCCACCCTACTGACGCAGAGGTCTGGAGAGGACGAGGCAGAGCCGGGGAGATGGGAGGGACGGGACGGTGGGCAGGGGCGGGAACGGAGGTGTGGGCGGGGCTGA